GCAGTGGCATGATCTGGCTCACTGCAACCTCCACCTCCTGGGTTCAAGAGATTCTTCCGCCTTAGCCTCCTGACTAACTGGGATTACAGGCACGCACTACTATGCAGAGATGAGATTTCACCACATTGGCCAGGCTGGTCTCGAACTCCTGACCTCAGGTGATCTGCCTGCCTCAGCCACCTGCTGGGATTACAGGTGTGAGCCACCATGCCCAGCCTGCAGTTTCTCCCAATTGTGTTACAGGTTTAATGCGACTGTGATTTAAAAGAGTGTTTTGTTTTGTTTTGTTTTGCTTTGTTTTGTGTTTTTCCTGAACAAACTTATTCTAACATTTGGGAAGGAAAAGGCAGGCAACAACAAAAAAGGTTTTTGTTTTACTATGTTTTTTAAGACAGGGTCTTCCTCTGTGACTCAGACTGGAGTGCAGTTGTGAAATTACAGCTCACTGCAGCCTCCAGTCTCCTAGCCTCAAGTGATCCTCTCATCTCAACTTCTTGAGTAGCTGGAACCATAGGTGTGCGCTACCACAACTGGTTATTTATGTATTTATTTATTTATTTTGGTAGAGATGGGATCTCATTATGTTGCCCAAGCTAAGTCTCAAACTCTTGGGTTCTAGAGATCTTCGTCCTCACCCTTCCAAAGTGCTGGGATTACAGGCATGAAGCCACTGTGCCCAGCCTAAAAAAGTTCTTGAGGAAGGAGTAATATGTTTGAGATGGAAATACTCTTAGCCACTGAAACATGATAAAGTTACAGTCACTAAACCTGTGTGCTGTTATAAGAAAAGATAGATCAGTGAAACAATTTACTGACTAGAAATGGATGCTTTTCTACAAAAATATTTTTAAAACCAGGCCTAATTATCAATAGAGAAACAGATAAAAATTCAGTAAATGGGGTCGGGACAACTGATTAATTACTTCATATAAAGATCAATTTAGATGTGGTGGCTCACACCTGTAATCCCAGCACTTTGGGAGGCCGATGCAGGCGGATCATGAGGTCAAGAGATTGGAAACCATCCTGGCCAACATGGTGAAACCCCATCTCTACTGAAAAATACAAAAATTAGCTGGGTGTGGTGGCACACGCTGTAGTCCCAGCTACTCAGGAGGATGAGGCAGGATAATTGCTTGAACCCAGGAGGCAGAGGTTGCAGTGAGCTGAGATTGCACCACTACACTCTAGCCTGACGTCTGGTGACAGAGCAAGACTGTTTCAGAAAAAAAAAGATCAATTTAGTTGTTTATTCCATATACCAAAATATATTCTCACTACATTAAAAAGTTTTACTGTGAAAAATCAAATCCTTCAAATTATTTTTAAATTAAGAAATTTAAACACTTTTTTCTTTTCTTTTTTTTTTTTTTTTTTGAGACAGTCTTTCTCTGTCGCTCAGGCTGGAATACGGTGGCATGATCTTGGCTCACTGCAACCTCTTCCAACTTCTGGGTTCAAGCAATTCTCCTGCCTCAGCCTCCTGAGTAGCTGGGACTGTAGGCATGCACCACTACACTCAGCTAATTTTTGTGTTTTTAGTAGAGACACTTTTTTATTTTTTCTATTTTTTCTTTGTTTGAGATGGAGTCTCGCTCTCTAGCCCAGGCTGGATTGCAGTGGCGCGATCTCGGCTCACTGCAACCTCCACCTCCCAGGTCCCTGGTTCAAGCAATTCTCCTACCTCAGCCTCCCAAGTAGCTGGGATTACAGGCACAAGCCACCATGCCCAAATAAATTTTGTATTTTTTAGTAGAGATGGGTTTCACCATGTTGGCCAGTCTGGTCTTGAACTCCTGACCTCGTGATCCACTCACCTTGGCCTCCCAAAGTGCTGGGATTACAGCCATGAGCCACATGTCTGGCCAATATGTTCAGTCTCTAGTGGTAATTGGGATTTTTGTGCTTACAAATAAAATGGAAAAGTAATAAAGAACAACACAATTAAGTTTGGTTACAAAAGTAAAATTATGTAAAAAAACATTAATAAGCCAACAGCAAACGTAGTTATATCTCCTGCAAGTATTCCTTTAGTGTGTTATATCTTAGCATGATGGAACTTCAGTGGATTAAAAACTTTTTGTCAGACACAGTGGCTCACGCCTGTATCCCACCCAGCAGTTTGAGAGGCCAAGGCAAGTGGATCACTTGAGCTCAGGAGTTTGTTGCCTGGGCAACATAGCAAAATCCCATGTCGACAAGAACAATACCAAAATTAGCCAGGTATGGTGGTGCGTGCCTGTAGTCCCAGCTACTTGGGAGGCTGAGGCAAGAGAATCACTTGAGCCTGGGAGGTAGACACTGCAGTAAGCCATGATCGCACTCCAGCCTGGGTGACAGAGTGAGACCCTGTCTCAAAAAAAAAAAAAAAAAAAGGCAGACAAGGTGGTGGCTCATGCCTGTAATCCCAGCACTTTGGGAGGCTGAGGCCGGCGGATCATATGAGGTCAGGAGTTCGAGACCAGCCTGGCTAACATGGTTAAACCCCGTCTCTACAAAAATACAAAAATAATTGTAATCCCAGCTACTTGAGAAACTGAGGTGGGAGAATCACTTGAACCCAGAAGGTGGAGATTGCAGTGAGCTGAGATCGTGCCATTGCACTCCAACCTAGGTGACAGAGTGAGACTCTATCTAAAAAAAAAAAAAAAAAATTTATTTGTATTACTTTCCTGTATTTTGTTGCTTTGATAATCATGAATATTCAATTAATTGAAAAAACAATTTATTGGGGAAAAAAACTACAAATCTGACCAACACAGAGAAATGAGGAAAGCAAGTAGGAATTAAGCAAAGAGGAAGAGAAGGCCTGAGAAAAACCCAAATCTCTCAAAAAAGACCATTTAAAGAAATACATAGGAAATCAAAGTTCAAGGCTGTCTTGCTTCATCTGGATTATGGAGCTGCTCTCCATCTGCTCCAAAACCAACACAGTGGGTGGTTAAGACGACGCAGTGGTTTACCAGGGTGGGGGCAGCGAGAGTGTCCGTCCTAGCAGGGAAGAGTAATTTATCCCTGGCATTGTTTAGGATTGCCAGTGCAAGTGATTAGAAAAAACAAACCCGGCCGGACACGGTGGCTCAAGCCTGTAATCCCAGCACTTTGGGAGGCCGAGGCGGGTGGATCACGAGGTCAAGAGATCGAGACCATCCTGGCCAACATGGTGAAACCCCGTCTCTACTAAAAATACAAAAAATTAGCTGGGCATGGTGGTGCGTGCCTGTAATCCCAGCTACTCAGGAGGCTGAGGCGGGAGAATTGCCTGAACCCAGGAGGCGGAGGTTGCGGTGAGCCGAGATCGCGCCATTGCACTCCAGCCTGGGTAACAAGAGTGAAACTCCGTCTCAAAAAAAAAAGAAAAAGAAAAAACAAACCCACTTGGCTGATAATTAGTTTCCTACAACATTTTCTGCAGAAAATGTAGCCCCTTACTACCTGGACACGGGAGAAACTCCCCTTGCCCCACTGTTCTGGAGACAGATAAACCTAGGCTCAAATTCCCCTGATCCCCTTTCTTAATAAAATAGAAGATCTATTAGTGCAACACATCCCATCACTAGGTTCGAAAGTAGGTGAAGGCGAACACTATGGTCAGTTCAATAGGTGAGACCCTGTAGCTAGAGGTTAGGAGAGAAAGTCTGCAGCTCACCATTTCTTTTTTTTTTTTTTTTTTTTTTGAGATGGTATCTCACTTTGTCACCCAGGCTGGAGTGCAGTGACATGATCTCAGCTCACTGCAACCTGAGCCTCCTGGGTTCAAGTAATTCTCCTGCCTCAGCCTTTTGAGTAGCCGGGATTACAGGCATATGCAACCACGCCCGGCTAATTTTAGTATGTTTAGTAGACATGGGCTTTCGCCATGTTGACCAGGCTAGTCTCGAGCTCCTGACCTCAAGTCATCCACCCACCTTGGCCTCTCAAAGTGCTGGGATTACAGGCATGAGCCACCATACCCAGCCCTCACATCCTTTTCAAATCCCATCTGCACCATTAGTGTGATATAGGGCAGCTGTATAGGCTCTGTTAGCCTCAGTTTCCCTATCTTCAAACTGAAGAAAATAACAGCTCCGTTTGCTATTGTGGAGTCTTGGTTAGGGTTCACTAGGACAATACACATGAAGAGATTTGCCAGGACCATGCCATTGTGACTCAGTGAATGGGGGCTGCTGCTTTTGCTTCTACAGATATGTCTCTTAGTGTCGGGAAGGACAGAGTAGCAATATCAGAGCGGAGGACAGGGAGAGCATGGCTGGAAGAACACAGAGGCTTGTCAGGAAGAGTGGGGTCTGCAGGGGCTGGAGAGAAGTTAGGATGTTAAAGGATGGATTCAGGAGGAGAGGCAGATAGGAGAGGGAAGAGGTGAGACGGGTCGGGGAGAAGCTGAAGGACACTTCTGGAAGCAGAGGGGGAGAAGGAAGTGGGTAAATGGAAACCCAGGTGATGGGGCCTAACCTAGGGACTACAGGGCTCCCAGGGTCAGCCACTGGTCACCTGCTAGGGGTTCCTGGGTGAGCTCTTGTTTGCTGGGGGTGGGATCCTGGACCCTCCTCCAGACTGTGGGAGATGCAAGGTAAGGGTCCCACCCTGAGGCACCAACGGGGACATAGACAAATGACAAAGAGTGGGTAGGCAACAACCTGGAGAGGTCATATCTGCCTGGAGATCATGGGGGACAGGCCAGGCTAGAGCCCCAGTATGGAGCAAGAATGGAGGATAATTGGAGGGTCTGGCAGGTGCTAGGCCTGAGGAGTTGGGGAGGGGCTGGATCTGGAGGGGACAGCAAGGGGGATGGTCAGGGAAAACAGATCAGATGTGGGGATAAGTAAGGGGAAGAGAAAAGGGGAGAGGTAGCAGAGCAGGTCTGGGGAGGTGTCAGGGGCCAGAGAGAACTTAGAGATTGTCAGAAGAAGTGGTGTCTGAGATGATGGGGACAGCATCACCATTAGTCATAAAACCAACACTGCAGTGGCCAAGGCAGGTGCCAGGGCAGCTGGACTCACCCTGGGTGATGGTGAGGTTGGTTCCCTCAATGGACTGCCACTTCTTTGTCTCTGATTTGTTTATGTCACCTGTCTGTATGTCCAGCTGGACTCGGAAGAAATACACAGACTGGTCCTCCTTTTGCAGGTTTGAGATCCTGAGGAAGCCGCTCTCCTGACCCTCTTTCCAGCTCAGGAAGAGCCGGTCTGAGAAATCCTTGTGAATGAAATGTGGCCTTGTGCTGTAGAAGACCTCCCCATGGAAGTGGTCCCGTCTCCAGCGTATTCTCACATTGGGAGGTCTGGCTAACACCCAGGGGTGATAGAAGGAGAAGGGGATCTCCACAGAGCCACCCATGGGGGCCGAGAGGTATTTTGGTTGAGTGACCCCATAGGGGTACCCTGGACTGGATCCTGCGGAGCCACCTAGAGGAGGAAGGGAGGGAGTCAGGGAGAGACCTTGAAGCCACCCTGGGACAGGAAGAGGATGACCCCAGACCCTCCCGCACCTTCACCCACAGGCTGTCATGTGACAGGTGGCTGGACTGGCCTCTGGCCTGGGTCTCTCACTCTTTGGGCATGGGGGAGGCAGAAGGAGGAAGAAATGGGGGTCACCCGTCCCTGTGGGACCTTGTTTGCTGGGGTGGGAGTCTGGCCCCTCACCCAGATGTCCCACCCTTGTCTCGGGTTGGCCCTTCCTGTGGTTCCAGGGCCGTCCAGGGCACTCACCAGCCTGCAGGAATACTGGCAGCGGCAGCAGCAGGAGCAGCAGCAGGGGCCGACCCATGGCCTTGCTCTCTTCCAGAGCACAGGGAGACGAGCAGAGCCGTCCAGGCAGGAGAGGGGCCCTGTGGATGGGCTGCCTGGGGATTGAGGTGAGTGAGGAGAGCCCGGGTCACGCTCTGCAGAGGGCTATGGCGGCCGGGAGCCTTCCCCAAACCCATGCGCCTCCAGGGTGACCAACACTTCCTTTATCCATCCGGCTTTTTTTGCCTTATTGCAAAAGGTCCTCCCTTGTGGTCAGCACCAAGTCACCCAACCCAAGGGCCCTAGTCCCCGTCCTGCTGCTGAGGGGCTGGGGCTGGGCCTGGGCTTGGCTGGCTGGGCTCCTCCCACCTGGGTCTCTGCAACCCCACCTCACTCAGCCTCACTTCTCATCCTCTCTGCCCAGGGCCAGTGCAGGCTCTTTAAGGGAGAGGAAAGACAGGCCCGAGTCTGCCCTGCTGTGCCCCAGATTCAGTCCTTAGAGAGGAAGAGGAAGGGGATGGTGGAGGTCACAGGCACTTAGCCCCCAGCCCAAGCACCAGAGCCCCAGCTGTCCTCTGTCCCTCTCCCTCCCTGGCAGGGGCTCCCATGCAGTCCCCAGGCACCACCACTGCCCCGCTGGCCTCTTCCCACCCCAGGCCTGCTCCCTTGGTGCAGAAACCATGACCTTGCGCAAGGGTTCAGGGGGCTGATGATCCCCTACACAGAGACTGGGCCTTCTCGAGGTTACCCCTGGACCCACAGACATGAGACTGGATCTGCAGGGTCCCCTCTGACCTCCCTGCCCTACACAGGAGGGAACGGGGCTTAGAGAAGCCCTGCCCCAGTCCACGTGACTTGCAGTGATGGGTCCTGGACTGCAATCTCTGCCACCAGGTCCAAGCGATTCTCTTGCCTCAGCCTCCTGAGTAGCTGGGACTACAGGCACCCGCCACTACGCCTGACTAATTTTTGTAGTTTTAGCAGAGACGAGGTTTCACCATGTTGGCCAGGCTTGGTCAGGATCACCTGACTTGAGGTGATCCACCCACCTAGGCCTCCCAAAATGCTGGGATTACAGCGCCCTGCCAGCAGGTGCATTTTGAAAGAGCTTGTAACTCTCCCAACAATCCCGGGAGGTAGGCAGAGTCTGTTATGTTCCTCAATTTGCATAAGAAGAAACGGAGGCCCAGCGCAGTGGCTCAAGCCTGTAATCCCAGCACTTTGGGAGGCTGAGGCGGGTGGATCACGAGGTCAAGAGATCGACACCATCCCGGTCAACATGGTGAAACCCCGTCTCTACTAAAAATACAAAAATTAGCATGGTGGTGCACGCCTGTAGTCCCAGCTACTCGGGAGGCTGAGGCAGGAGAATTGCTTGAACCCAGGAGATGGAGGTTGTGGTGAGCCGAGATCGCGCCATTGCACTCCAGCCTGGATAACAAGAGTGAAACTCCGTCTCAAAAAAAAAAAAGAAGAAGAAGAAGAAGAAACGGAGGCCCTGAGGGTGGTTCTGAGCCTGGCCTGAGGTCACATGGCGCATAAACGTCCACTGTGGCATCAGGTCTGAGCCTGGGGCTCAGTGGCTGACCACTTCCTCATTTAGTGACATCAGCTGGCAGTCCTCTGTGACAACCACGCTTCCCTTTTCTGTGTTGTTTTCCTTCTGCACAGGGAGGTGCTTGAGGGCTGGGCACTGATTGGTGTAACTTGGGGTCCTTGTCACCCAGCGCCATGTGCCAGGCAGTCAGTGCTGCCCAAATGTGCCTGGAGGGCATGGAGGCATCTTCCAAGGGTGGGGATCAGTCAACAATCATTTTCGGTAGGGATGGGGTTTAGCCACATCAGCCAGGTTTTTTTGCTTGTTTTGTCTTTTTTTGAGACAGGGTCTCTCTCTCTCACCCAGGCTGGAGTACAATGGTACAATCACAGCTCACTGCAGCCTCGATTGTCCCCTGAGGCCTCAAGTGATTCTCTAGCCTTGGCCTCAAAATGAGCTGGGATTACAGGCATGAGCCACTGTGCCTGGCCCAATCATGCTTTTACAGTAAAGCTTATAAAAACCCAAAAGGCATGCAGAGGGCTTCTGGATAACAACACATGGAGCTTCCTAGAGAGTTGGGTGCCTGCAGAACACACGGGAGCTCTGCACCCTCTCCCCAGGCCTCCCTCTATGTATCTCTTACATCTGGCCGTTCATCTCTATCCTTTGTAATATCCCATATTTTTATTTTTATTTTGAGACAAGGTCTTGCTGTGTTGCCCAGGCTGGTCTCAAACTCCTGTGCTCAAGCGAACCTCCCCCCTCTACCTTGCAAAGCACAGAGATTACAGGCATGAGCCATGTCGCCCAGCCCTATAATATCCTTTATAATAAAGGGGCACATGTGAGCAAAGGGTTTCCCTGAGTTCTGGGTGCCCCTCTAGAAAATTAATGGAACCCAAGGAGGGGATCGTGGGAACCTCAATTTTTTTTTTTTTTTTTTTTTTGAGACGGAGTTTCGCTCTTGTTACCCAGGCTGGAGTGCAATGGCGCGATCTCAGCTCACCGCAACCTCAGCCTCCTGGGTTGAGGCAATTCTCCTGCCTCAGCCTCCTGATTAGCTGGGATTACAGGCACGCACCACCATGCCTAGCTAATTTTTTGTATTTTTAGTAGAGACGGGGTTTCACCATGTTGACCAGGATGGTCTCAATCTCTTGACCTCGTGATCCACCTGCCTCGGCCTCCCAAAGTGCTGGGATTACAGGCTTGAGCCACTGCGCCCGGCAGGAACCTCAATTTTTATAGCCCTGTGTCAGAAGCACAGCCACGACGTGAGCTTGCAACTGGCATCTGATGCAGGGCAGTCTTGTGGAACTGAGACCTCACCCCGTGGGTTCACAGGAAGCAGCCAACTTGCTGTAGTAGCCTTGGCCACCACGCCGTCTCTGACAGCGTTCTGCCCCTGCCCACTCCTTCTGTAAGGATTCCCTTTTGGCAGGCACGGTGGCTCACACCTGTAATCAACGGCACTTTAGGAGACTGAGGCTGGAGGATCACTTGAGCCCAGAAGTTTGAGACCAGCCTGGACAACTTGGTGAAACTCCGGTACCACTAAAAAATACAAAAATTATCTGAGTGTGGGAGTGCACGCCTGTAATCCCAACTACTTGGGAGGCTGAGGCACAAGAATGGCTTGAACCCAGGAGGCAGAGATTGCAGTGAGGAGCGATTACACCACTGCACTCCAGCCTGGGTGATGATAGAGTGAGGCTCTGTCTCAAAAAAAAAAAAAAAGTTGTCTTTCTTAAACTTGCTTCCTACCACATTAAATCTGTGAGCACCATCTGTTTCTAGCGGGGATGCTCCCTACTTCACGACTGGACGTAGGTACTGCAGAGCAGGAATGGGCGCTTGGCAGCTGTGTTTGTGGGAGATGCACAGAGAAGTATCAGCAGTGTTTCCCACTAATCCCCAAAACCCCTGCCATAGAAGACAACCACTGTGCAGACTGGAAAATGTGGACGAGGAGAACAGGTGTGTATGGTAAGCAAAATAAATTGTATCTTAATATTTTTTCATCCTTGGAGAGGATAAAGGAAATCTTACTACTGCTGCAATGAACAGCCCCCAAATGCCAGTGGTTTAATTCAGTGGAGTTCAGACCTCATCCCTGTAACATTGCAGTGTGGATGATCCTGATAAAGGCTCTTGTAGGTATCTCTCCAGCAGGTGATTCAGGTACCCAGGTTTTAAAGGTCCTCAGGGTGCTCTCTATGTATCTTCCCGGTGGGGAACCCCGTGTGGAGGACTCAGAAGCAGGTCTCACATAACATCCTCCAGGGTTAATACATATCCCTTATCCCCACACTGTGTTGGTCCGAAATCACTGCTTGGGGCCCTGCGATCTGCAGGAAGAGAAATGTGTTTAGATCCAGAGCTAGGATTATTACAGTAAGACAAGTGAGGCAATTGCTTCAGAGATCAGATTTCAGGGAGTGGTGGCAAAGACTCGGGAGAATTTGTGACAGAATGGATTTGTGGGTTCTTAGCAGCACACTCCCTGCTTTGCAAACCAGCCCCTGCCCTCACCTGCATCCCCAACCCCCTTGGGGAGGCCCAGCACTCAACTGGCCCAGCCCTGCCTACCCATGTGCAGGCCCCTCTCTCTGGGCTCTCACTTGCCTCGGGTTGTGGGTTTAGTTGGCTGCTGACCTGTAGGGGGACCAACAGTGAGTCAGGGTGACATCCAGGTGATGGCAGTCTCCATCTGCCTTCTCTGCTGTGCCCTAGGCTGAGGCCCTCCTTAGAGGGACCAAAGCAGCAGAGCAGCTCCGCCCAAACCCATCAGGAATACGCTGGGACTCAGCTGGTACGCTGAGGCCCCCCCACCTGCCCTCCCTGTTGTCTTCCATGTCACCTCCTGAGACTCCCTCATCCCAACACCGTCCCTTGGCTTCCTTCTCTCCTGAGCTCCCTGCTCAGCCCCAACTTGGCTCCCTCCACCACTGAGCCCTCGCCCACCTGTCCCTCTTCTCCCCATGACACAGGTACCCCCCACTCCCTCCAGGTCCTCAAGGATACCACACCTGTGCTTTCCTTCTGGGTGGTGGCTGTGTCTGCTCTCCAGCCTTGGGAGCCTGGTGCTTGGGACTCATGTTTGTGGCTATTTGAGTTCTGTAGCCACTGCTCGGCCTTCCCTCCACTCTGACTGATCCCACCCTGAATCCTCTGCTGCCTCTCCCACTGCACCCTGCCCCTCCTGTCCCCCTGGCATCCTTGCAGTGTTTCCCAAGCACTGGGCCCCTGGTCTACAGACATCCTCTCCACCATCCAGCCTCCTCCTGGGAGAGCTCTGTGTCCACAGAGACACTCTCTGAGCCCAGACCTCATGGCACCCCTCAACTCCAGGGGCCCCACCTTCCACTTCTACAGGACTTTTTGTTTTTAATGTTGGGACTGGAAACTCTGAAATATTAACTGCTAGTATCATTTTCATGTTTCAACTTTCACTCCATCCAGCGTAACACCTAGGCTGGGTGCGGTGGTTCACACCTGTGAAAATCCCAGCACTTTGGGAGGCTGAGGGGGGCAGATCACCTGAGGTCAGGAGTTCCAGATCAGCCTGGCCAACATGGCAAAAACCCGTCTCTACTAAAATTACAAAAATTAGCCAGGTGTGGTGGCGGGCACCTTTCATCCCAGCTACTCCGGAGGGTAAGGCAGGAGAATTGCTTGAACCCAGGAGGCAGAGGTTGCAGTGAGCAGAGATCATGCCACTGCACTCCAGCCTGGGGACAGAGCAAGACTTTATCTCAAAAAAAACAAAGTTCACCAGCCTTTTTGTCTATAGTTTTTGTGTTGTTTTTCTTGCAGGGTCTTTATCTGGCTTTTAGGTCACGCTGTTGCTGACCTCACAGAATGAACCTGGAAGTGTTCCCTCTGTCTTTGGTCATTATCCCACTATAGCTCTTGTTGAACCTCATTGAGTCTTGACCCTTTGTAATCTGCTATTTTGCAGATTATCTAAGCCTCCTGCTGACCCCCCTGCTGTCCATTGCTGCTCTCTCACTAGCTGCTTGACCTTCTGTGATCTCCTGATCTCCTGTCTTTCTGCCTCACTTAGCCAGAAAATCTCTAATCCTGGAGGTGTCCTGTGGCAGGAATGCTACTTGCTTACCCAACACCTATTCAATTATTATTAATTAGTTACAAAAAAATGATTGTATTTGGAGTGAGGTCTCCCCTACACACAGCTGTGGAATATGCGACTAAATTCTAGCCCGTAAGACATAAGCAGAAGTTGTGGTTAGATCTTTCAGGAAGACTCTTTAAAAGGAAACAGAAGGCCGGGCACGGTGGCTCAAGCCTGTAATCCCAGCACTTTGGGAGGCCGAGGCGGGTGGATCACGAGGTCAAGAGATCGAGACCATCCTGGTCAACATGGTGAAAACCCGTCTCTACTAAAAATACAAAAAATAGCTGGGCATCGTTTTGTGTGCCTGTAATCCCAGCTACTGAGGAGGCTGAGGCAGGAGAATTGCCTGAACCCAGGAGGCTGAGGTTGCGGTGAGCTGAGATCGCACCATTGCACTCCAGCCTGGGTAACAGGAGGGAAACTCTGTCTCAAAAAAAAAAAAAAAAAGGAAACAAAGTTGGAGCATAGCATTTTTGTTGTTTCTTTCATCCTCTTGTGTCCTGCCAGGTACCAGAAGTAGTGGCTGGAACCCATGCAGCCATGATGGACCATGAGGCAGCCTTCAGGACAGAAGCCAGCATCAGGGCTGGTGGATCAGAAGGTAGGAACATTCATATCTAAGAAGAGTGGCGTCTGCTCTCTGATTCCAGATCTGTTTACACGAGGTGGGGGGAAAAAACAAACCCAAATCAGTCTTGTGTAAGCCACTGTTACTTCTAGTCCCTGGTGGTGCCAGTTGACCACATTTCCAGACCAACACAAATCCCTAAGGTTTTTAAACCTGAATGGTTGACTCTTGCTGGGGAAAAAACACAATCATATACAACAATGCTTTTACTCGGACTCATGGTTTCTCATCTGAGCTGCATCCTCAAACCCCACTTCCCTCTTCCCCTCTTGTGCTGGAAAAAAAACACAGTCATATATAATAATCCCTTTTACTCGGACTCATGGTTTCTCATCTGAACTGAGTCCTCAAACCCCACTTCCCACTACCCCTGGGACTATGTTGAACTTTCTCATGAACTCTCCCCATCTCTTCCTCATTCTCAGGAGACAGGCACTGTGTTTTTTGTGCCTCAGGAGTTTTTAGGAAAAAATGGGTTTTTTTTTTTAGATGGAGTCTCACTGCGTTGCCCAGGCTGGAATGAGTGGCGCAATCTTGGCTCACTGCAGCCTCCGCCTCCTGGGTTGAAGTGATTCTCCTGCCTCAGCCTCCTGAGTAGCTGGGATTACAGGTGCCCACCACCATGCCCAGCTAATTTTTGTATTTTTATTTCACCATGTTGTCCAGTCTGGTCTTGAACTCCTAACCTCAGGTGACCCACCTGCCTCAGCCTCCCAAAGTGCTGGGATCACAGATGTGAGCTACCTCACCCAGCAAAAAAAATTTTATATAGTTAAATTTATCAATATTTTAATTCATGGCTTCTGAGTTTGGTCATACTGAGTGAGACTGTCTCCACTCTATGGTTATAAAATAATATCACATGCATTCTTCTAGAGATAGGGTTATATCTTTCCTCATTTAAATCTTTGCTCTGTGGAATTTATTTTTGGGGGAAATTATGAGGTAGGAAGGTCACACTACTTTTTCTCAGATGGCTACTGAATAGTTCCAGCACTATTCACTGAATTACTCATGGTTCCTCTATTGATGTAGAAATGCTGCTTTTTAACCAACTAAATTTGCACCTAGATTTGGATTTGTTTCCATGCTGCTATATGGTGCTCCTTTCCTTCCATTGGTTTATTTGTGTATTAATATGCGAGCTTGTGTGGTTTTCATGCCCACTGTTTAATCATTGTAAGTGCTGATGCTCCTGTGTGCACACCCTCTGCTAGGATCTATTCTCAACATAGCACATTTAATCGTCAGGACAGCCCCACATAGGCAGTATCTTCACTCACTTTGCCCATCAGGAAGTTGAGGCTCACAGACTTTGTATCCATGAGCTTGTTTCCCTGGTGAGGGTGTGAGGCCAGGATCTAACTGCAGGCAGCCCCAATCCCCATGCTCCTCCCTTCTGTGCTTTCATAGCTGATAGGGGGAATCTCCTTTCACTGAAGACTTTTGTTTTTTTCTATTTTTAGACGGAGTCTTGCTCTGTCACCCAGGCTGCGTGCACTGGCACCGTCTTAGCTCACTGCAACCTCTGCCTCCTGAGTAGCTGGAACTACAGGTGTCCGTCACCACTCCCAGCTGTTTTTTTGTGTTTTTAATTGAGACGGGGTCTCACCATGTTGGTCAGACTGGTCATGAACTCCTGACCTCAGGTGATCCGCCAGGCTCAGCCTCCCAAAGTGCTGAGATTATAGGCATGAGCCACCGCACCTGGCCTCCTGGCCTGAAGACTTTCTTGATGGTATCTTACTATCAGGGTCGGAGGATATTGAGGTGGAACTCAATGCTGCCTTGAGCCTTGTCCTCTCTTTTGAGCTGTAAATGTGTACATCCAAGTTTCCAATGGACAACTCTGCTGAGATGCCACTCCCGTACAACAGATTCTGACTAAACGAGGCACCGTTCCCCTCCAAACATGCTCTCTTCCTCTCTTCTCTACTGGACTTGGTGGTTTCATCATAGCCCCATGCACCCAAGTGGAAACAGGCTTCTTCCCGCTCCCTCCCCCTACATCAATCTAACAGTCAATCTCATTGGTTTTTATTACTTTATCTTTTCTAGGATCTGGCCCTTTCCATCTCTTCACCTCATCCCTGCACTGCACTGACCCAGCGTGGCCCACCTCTGGCTGTTCCTCTACAGATTGAGGTCTCTTACGGGAGCTCAGGATGCCCCTTCACTGCTTCATGCTCCCTCTGGGATCAGAGGCTCTTGGGTGTGATTTCCAAAGTCGTCTTCCTTCCTCTCCTATCTCCTCCACCAGCACTGAGCTTCCTACAGCTAGTGGAATGGCTTCCTCCACCCACAAGGAAAGTGAGTGACTTCTATACCACCCTCACTTCTTGCCGGGTTAATTCTTTTCTTCTTTAAAACATCTGCAGATGTCACCTGCTCTGAGAAGTCCTCCCTGATTACCTCTCTTTTCTCCCACCCTTGTTTAACGCTACCATAGTTCTTTCTCAATGAAGCAATTAGTCCTTGAGGCAAATGACAACCCCAAGCCCCCAGGTCCCTGAGAGCAGAACCTATGCTTTATCTACTTTGCTTCTCCACTTTCAAGCCAGGCTGTGGCAGGTGGGCAGTTGGCCAGTGCCTGCTGAGCCCAGCCCACTTCTGGTCCCTTCTGCTCTGTCTTTTTCACAGGGCAGACCCTCCCCTCCCCAGGAAGCTTCAGGGCGGGTTGATGAGTGATGACTGAGAAGGAAGAACTCGGAGGCATCGGCTGTATGGAGAGGGCTGGGGGCTCTCACATGTGACCCCGCACCACCCCACTGCAGGAGCCCTCACTGCAGACACCCCAGCACAGGCCACAGAGTCCGCCTCAGTGGGCTTGAGGGGAGCCGGCAGGGTCTGGGTATCTCAGAAGCCCCTTAGCTGCAGGCGGGCTCTGAGAACCCCAGCTGGGAGGTTGGGGAGGAGGCGGGTTCTGGGCACTTACCTTTCCTTCTGCTCCACCAGAGGTGGCACATAAATCCCAAAATCACAGTTTTGAGCACAGCAGCAGCCACTGCCACCCCCACAGCAGTCTCCAGACTTAGATGACAAGACTCTGAGCGCCCTTTGCCCTCTGTGACCCCAAGCCTGGCTGTGGTGGTTGCGCTGCGGGGCCTCCAGGTGGTGGTCATGACAGCTGGGGAGGGATGAGGAATGAGCAGACCCTCCCCTGGGGCCCAAGAGTCTAGGTGAGAGGCATGGCTAGGGAACATTTGGGATGGGGGAGCTGCTCTCAGAAGCCCACACAGGGACAGCGTAACAGGGTGAAATGCTAACAGCTTTCAATCCAGATGACCAGGTTTACATGTGAAGATGTCACTGGTCACCAAAACCTTCACAGTGGTGAGCGAGGCAGGTGCCAGGACAGCTGGACTCACCCTGGGTGATGGTGAGGTTGGTTCCCTCAATGGACTGCCACTTCTTTGTCTCTGATTTGTTTATGTCACCTGTCTGTATGTCCAGCTGGACTTGGAAGAAATACACAGACTGGTCCTCCGTTTGCAGGTTTGAGATCCTGAGGAAGCCGCTCTCCTGACCCTCTTTCCAGCTCAGGAAGAGCCGGTCTGAGAAATCCTTGTGAATGAAATGTGGCCTTGTGCTGTAGAAGACCTCCCCATGGAAGTGGTCCCGTCTCCAGCGTATTCTCACATTGGGAGGTCTGGCTAACACCCAGGGGTGATAGAAGGAGAAGGGGATCTCCACAGAGCCACCCATGGGGGCCGAGAGGTATTTTGGTTGAGTGACCCCATAGGGGTACCCTGGACTGGATCCTGCGGAGCCACCTAGAGGAGGAAGGGAGGGAGTCAGGGAGAGACCTTGAAGCCACCCTGGGACAGGAAGAGGATGACCCCAGACCCTCCCGCACCCTCACCCACAGGCTGTCATGTGACAGGTGGCTAGACTGGCCTCTGGCCTGGGTCTCTCACTCTTTGGGCATGGGGGAGGCAGAAGGAGGAGGAAATGGGGGTCACCCATCCCTGTGGGACCTTGTTTGCTGGGGTGGGAGTCTGGCCCCTCACCCAGATGTCCCACCCTTGTCTCGGGTTGGCCCTTCCTGTGGTTCCAGGGCCGTCCAGGGCACTCACCAGCCTGCAGGAATACTGGCAGCGGCAGCAGCAGGGGCAGCAGCAGGGTCCGACCCATGGCCTTGCTCTCTTCCAGGGCACAGGGAGACCAGCAGAGCCGTCCAGGCAGGAGAGGGGCCCTGTGGATGGGCTGCCTGGGGATTGAGGTGAGTGAGGAGAGCCGGGATCAGGCTCCACAGAGGGCTATGGCGGCCGGGAGCCTTCCCCAAACCCATGTGCCTCCAGAGTGACCAACACTTCCTTTATCCATCCGGCTTTTTTTGCCTTATTGCAAAAGGTCCTCCCTTGTGGTCAGCACCAAGTCACCCAACCCAAGGGCCCTAGTCCCCATCCTGCTGCTGAGGGGCTGGGGCTGGGCCTGGGCTTGGCTGGCTGGGCTCCTCCCACCTGGGTCTCTGCAACCCCACCTCACTCAGCCTCACTTCTCATCCTTCTCTCTGCCTAGGGCCAGTGCAGGCTCTTTCAGGGAGAGGAAAGACAGGCCTGAGTCTGCCCTGCTGTGCCCCAGATTCAGTCCTTAGAGAGGAGGAGGAGGGAGGATGGTGGAGGTCACAGGCACTTAGCCCCCAGCCCAAGCACCAGAGCCCCAGCTGTCCTCTGTCCCTCTCCCTTCCTGTCAGGGGCTCACCACTGCCCCGCTGGCCTCTTCCCACCCCAGGCCCACTCCCTTGGTGCAGGGACCATGACCTTGCACAAGGGTTCAGGGGGCTGATGATCCCCTACACAGAGACTGGGCCTTCTCGAGGTTACCCCTGGACCCACAGACATGAGACTGGATCTGCAGGGTCCCCTCTGACCTCCCTGCCGTACACAGGAGGGAACGGGGCTTGGAGAAGCCCTGCCCCAGTCCACGTGACTTGCAGTGATGGGTCCTGGACTGGAGCCCTCTTTACCAGGATGTCTGGGCCTGGCCACAGGGCGGAATCTCTGGGCCTCAACTTCTGAGTGCAGGAACTTGGGGATTGGGGAGCCCCAGGAGGCCGTCCCCTCATGCAGCCCCTCAGGTTGTTCATCCATACACCTGAGCTCCTGGCTGATCCAGAAGCTTCCTTGGACAGAAGGAAGGGAAGGCTCAGAGTAGCAGTGGGCCCCCCCCTCCCCTGCACAGTCCTGGGACTGTCTCTAACAGGGGATCTGCCAGCCTTTGCCTGGAGGTGGTCACTGGGGCGGGGAGCTTTGATGGCCCACAGGGCTCCCTCTGTAGGATGCTCTGCCCACCCTCTCCAGGGTGAGGAGGCATCGGCTGAGGGGCCATGGGGGCAGGAAGGCAGGATTTCGCCAGAGGAAGTGGCCTCAGCCTTCGTGAGACAGAAGCAGGCAGGCACGGGCCTCCTTTCTCTTAGTCTCTTCCTGGTCCCAGTAGATAGGCTCCTCTGTGCTTCCCAGGGCCAGCCAGGCTGCCCCGCCCTCCCTCCCTTCACAGGCCTGAGGAAACAGGTTCCTCGTGCTCAGGGAACCACTCCCTCTGAACTAGACCCTAAACACCTCATTCTCTGCGTCACAACATTCTGAGGTGACACATTATCTCCATTCAACCCACAGGGAAACTGAGGCATGGGATCTTTAGGCTGAACTCATCCCAACTGGACAGATGGGCTGAAGAGAGGACAAGGGACCCCCTGGCTGCCTGGGCAGGGCCTCGAGAGGGTGGCCTGCCCTGCCTGGGGACATGGCTAGAAGGTCACCTGCTTACTGGACCATCCAAGGTAGGGGCCACATAGAACTTTTACACAACATCCTCTGGGTAGCTCTGGAGGGCACAAGCTGCCCAGTGGCCTCAGGCCAGCCACCTCACCATGTGCTGTCTCCTTAGATGCAAGGTGCACATTGATGTCACTTTCTGGGCTCTGGACCCAGCTGAACCCCCATGGGAGATTCCTTTCTGTGTCAAGATTTCTGCTCTGGGATGGTGTGAGGTCTCCCGGGTTTGTTCATCCTCCCTCCTCAACAGCAGTGACAGGGCCTGGGACTGAGCCTGAGGCTGTGGCTCTCTCACAGATGGGGCTTCCAGGAGGAGGAGGGCATGATTCCAACATGAGCAGAGCCTGAATGCAGCCCTTTAGCACAAGTGGCCATGGGAGAGGCATGGGAAGCCACGTGTGGGGAGCAGGGGCAGGGAGGGGGCCAGGACCCCGCACCACGTTTTGAGAACCACTGCTTGGATGTCCCCATGTTACCCCAACAACCACCCTCCTTTCCTCACTGGCTACATCCACCCCTGCCCTGCCTACACTGTTCCTGCTTTCCTCCAGTCCCAATCGACATCCTGTAGGCTTTGTGGAGTCCACAAGCCGACTGTAAAATTCTTACAGTAATTCAAAAGACCTAGAATAGCCAAAAGGTCTTTACAAATGAAGAATGAAGGTGGAAGAGTGATAATACCTGACTTCAAGACTTGCTGTGAAGCTTCTGGAATCAGGCTGTACCCTCCTCAAGGTACAATCCTCCCCTAGGCTGAAGTGCAGGGGCGCAATCGCCATCACTCAGCCTGGACCTCCTGGGCTCAAGTGATTTGCTGACCTCAGCCTCATGAGTAGTGGAGACCACAGCCACACACCACCACACATGGCTTATTTTATTTTATTTTTTTTGAATGAGGGGGTCTCACTGCTGTCTAGGTTGGTCTCAAACTCCTGGGCTGAAGGGCTCCTCCTGCCTCGGCCTCCCTCAGTGCTGGGATGACAGGTGTGAGGCACCGTGCCCAGCCCTCTGTATTGCTGATGTTCTCGCATCTCAGACCTCCAAGACCGGAGAGAGTTCTTAGAGCTAGTAAAAGACCCCTCTGAGGATGTGCCTTTCATATGCAAACAACTAATCCAGGGCCCAGCCCTGAACCAGCTCTTCTAGCTGGCTCTCACCCTCCAGGAGAGGCTATTTCTCTGCCTTCATCTCCCTGGGTCATGCACCAACCGGTGACAGCCCCTACTCCCCAGAGTTCTAACTAGCCAATCCTAAACCTGCATACCCTGCCTTGTCTTTTCCAAAGGGTCTCACCCAGGATTCCCCTTGGCTTGCTCTGCCCCTGAGGCACCGTGGTGCTTTCCTGAGTGGCCCTCCATGGCTTACTGTGTCTCCCGTTTCTGGGGATCTGTGAGGATACACTGCCTCCCTCATGACCCTCATTTCCATGTCTGCCCGGCTGGCCATACCTGATGGAATGAAATGACAGATGCTTTTTAATTACTTATTTAAAATTTTTGTTTGTTTGTTTTGAGAGGAGTCTCACTCTGACACTCAGGCTGCAGTGCAGTGGCACCATCTCAGCTCACTGCAATCTCTGCCTCCAGGTCCAAGCGATTCTCCTGCCTCAGCCTCCTGAGTAGCTGGGACTACAGGCACCCGCCACTACGCCTGACTAACTTTTGTAGTTGTAGCAGAGACGAGGTTTCACCATGTTGGCCAGGCTTGGTCAGGATCACCTGACTTGAGGTGATCCACCCACCTAGGCCTCCCAAAATGCTGGGATTACAGCGCCCTGCCAGCAGGTGCATTTTGAAAGAGCTTGTAACTCTCCCAACAATCCCAGGAGGTAGGCAGAGTCTGTTATGTTCCTCAATTTGCATAAGAAGAAATGGAGGCCCTGAGGGTGGTTCTGAGCCTGGCCTGAGGTCACATGGCACATAAACGTCCACTGTGGCATCAGGTCTGAGCCTGGGGCTCAGTGGCTGACCACTTCCTCATTTAATGACATCAGCTGGCAGTCCTCTGTGACAACCATGCTTCCCTTTTCTGTGTTGTCTTCCTGCTGCACAGGGAGGTGCTTGAGGGCTGGGCACTGGCTGGTGTAACTTGGGGTCCTTGTCACCCAGCGCAGTCAGTGCTGCCCAAATGTGCCTGGAGGGCATGGAGGCATCTTCCAAGGTTGGGGATCAGGCAACAATCATTTTCAGTAGAGATGGAGTTTCACCACATCAGCCAGGTTTTTTTGCTTGTTTTGTTTTTTTGAGACAGGGTCTCTCTCTGTCACCCAGCCTGGAGTACAATGGTACAATCACAGCTCACTGCAGCCTCGATTGTCCCCTGAGGCCTCAAGTGATTCCCTAGCCTTGGCCTCAAAATGAGCTGGGATTACAGGCATGAGCCACTGTGCCTGGCCCAATCATGCTTTTACAGTAAAGCTTATAAAAACCCAAAAGGCATGCAGAGGGCTTCTGGATAACAACACATGGAGCTTCCTAGAGAGTTGGGTGCCTGCAGAACACACGGGAGCTCTGCACCCTCTCCCCAGGCCTCCCTCTATGTATCTCTTACATCTGGCCGTTCATCTCTATCCTTTGTAATATCCCATATTTTTATTTTTATTTTGAGACAAGGTCTTGCTGTGTTGCCCAGGCTGGTCTCAAACTCCTGTGCTCAAGCGAACCTCCCCCCTCTACCTTGCAAAGCACAGAGATTACAGGCATGAGCCATGTCGCCCAGCCCTATAATATCCTTTATAATAAAGGGGCACATGTGAGCAAAGGGTTTCCCTGAGTTCTGGGTGCCCCTCTAGAAAATTAATGGAACCCAAGAAGGGGATCATGGGAACCTCAATTTTTATAGTCCTATGTCAGAAGCACAGCCACGACGTGAGCTTGCAACTGGCATCTGATGCAGGGGCAGTCTTGTGGAACTGAGCCCTCACCCTGTGGGTTCACAGGAAGCAGCCAACTTGCTGTAGTAGCCTTGGCCACCACGCCGTCTCTGACAGCGTTCCTGCCCCTGCCACTCCTTCTTCTGTAAGGATTCCCTTTTGGCAGGCACGGTGGCTCACACCTGTAATCACGGCACTTTGGGAGACTGAGGCTGGAGGATCACTTGAGCCCAGAAGTTTGAGAACAGCCTGGACAACTTGGCAAAACTCCAGCATCACTAAAGAATACAAAAATTATCTCAGTGTGTTGGTGCACGCCTGTAATTCCAGCTACTCGGGAGGCTGAGGCAGGAGAATTACTTGAAGCTGGGAGGTGGAGGTTGCAGTGAGCTGAGATGACGCCACTGCACTCCAGCCTGGGCCAAAGTCTCCGTCTCAAAAAAATATATAGTAAAGAGATCAATTTGGGGATATTGACCTGTTAACAGCGAGGCTTAGCTAGGCACAGTCAGTGGCTCATATCTGTCATCCCAGCACCTTGGGAGGCCATGGCAGGGAGATCACTTGAGCCCATAGTTTGCGACCAGCCTGGACAACATAGTGAAACCTCATCTCTACAAAAAAAAAAAGAAAGAAAAAAGAAAATTACAAAAATTATGCCTGTGGTCCCAGCTCCTTCAGAGGCTGAGGTGGGAGCATCACTTGAGCCCAGGAGGTTGAAGCTGCAGTGAGCCAAGATTCCACCACTGCACTTCAGCTTGGGTGACAGAGCAAGACTTTGTCTCAAAACGCCACCACCACCACCACCAACAAAAAAAACAGTGAGCCTTGTGATGTATGAATGTGATGTCTCTCTCCCTCGACTTACGCCCTGGCACTCAGGCCTTTCAGGCATGATCTGGCCTGGCCCCCGAGCAGTGTCAGCCACACCGCCTGGTATAAGTGTGAGGCTGCTCACGGAGCACCCTCATTAGATAGCTGTGCCTCCACCCACCAGGAACACACTTGTCCAGGCCTGCCTGCTGCTCTCCTTCACCAAGAATTATTCTTCCCAGCCCTGGGCCTCTGGGTGGGTTAAAGTGCTGCTTTGCATCTCAGGCTCCACATCTGTCAAATGGACTTCCTGAGAATACCCACCTCCTGACTTGTTTTTAGACAAGACTATCCAGGAAGAGTTAGTCGTTGGGAGTCTCCTGGTTTACAATCTTCACATCACCACAGCCTTCATCACCCTTATGTACGCGACGCTCAACGTGAGCATGCAGGCACCACACCACCACAGAGAGACCCCCAGGATTCAAACCCAGGTCCATTCAAAGCTAAAACCTTACATTGGGTCACGAGTGCTGGGGGCTTGGGGAGGCAGGTGCTGCTGCTGGGCTGACTCAGCTCTTCCCCTGGAGCACATCGGCTCCCTCCAGCCTCAATTTCCACACATACCAAGCCAATAGCACCCTGGTCTCTGCGTCTGAGGCCCAACCACACATCATAGCACAGTGCACCACGCACTCTCAGGGCGTCCTTTGACACTGCTGCTGGCTCTGACTCTTGAGGCTGGGCAGTGAGGAGCATACTGGCTGTGGGGAGACTTTCTGGGTCCCAAGGTGTTTGGCTTTGAGTCCCACAGTGACCAGGCTTGGCTGCAGCCTCCTAAGCTTATGGAAGCCAAGCGCAGGCCCAGGGACTCTTCTTCCACTGTGATGGGCAAGTGGCCCTGGCTAGGGTGATGGGGGTCCCCTCAGAGCTCCCCCTTTGTCTACTTAGAGAAACCCAGCTTTCTCGGGATCCTCCTCAAGCTTCCCCCGAGACCTTACAAGCCCCACTGTTTACACCCCATCCCGGTTCAGAGTGCTCTCTCCCCTCCCCTCGTCATCTTCCTCCTCAGCCCTGCCTTCCTGACCCTCCTCAGGGACCTCTGAAGCACCCCTTCCTCGCTTCCTTGAGCCCCCAGCCCTGGAGGAACTGCTGAGCTGCCTAGGCCAGTGCTGAGGGCTTCTGGGAGGAGAAGGATGACCACCAGCTGAGGAAGGTAGGCCTGACCAGCCGAAACCATCCTCTTCCCAGCACAGTGCAGAGCTGGGGGCTGGATGGGCTGGGTCCCGGCAAGGCCACTTCAGGGCCTGCCTG